ATGTTTATTCTATATAAGCTATTGTAGTTCGGCATCATGTGGAGTTGTGTGAAGAGTGTAGAAAGAAAAATGGGCACAGCTAGACTTAGTGATCTAAATCTAGTAAGTGATTGCTGTAAGCTCCGTGAAAGCAGTATGTGTCTACCTAATACCCCTACTGCTTAGGATAATGCTTGGCATATAGTAGACGCTGAGTAAATAGCTTCTGAATGAAGCAATGGCCAAAGACGGAGGCGCAGTACCAGGAAAGAGTGGAAATGGTATTATAGAAAACACAGGATTAGAGAGTTTCGAGGAAGAAGTGATTGTCAGTTGTATATGTAACACAGGGCTTCTAAGTTCATATTTGAAAAATGTTCATTGGATTTGACAGCATATCATTGTTGACGTGATGTCAATGACTTTAATGAAGTGTTGTTTAACACTGTCTCATTCTCTGACACGGGTGCTCTTTTCTCTATTGTCCCATAGTACTTTGTGCATTACTGAGATTAGGAGTTTCTGTACATGTTCTTCATGAGGCCATGAAGGGCTTCAAGGATAAGGACCTGTCTCTTGTTTTTTGTTGTTGTTGTTCTGTTTTTTTTAATTTTTTATCTTTGTGTCACCAGAGCTTGGCACTATACCTGGCTTATAGTAAGTGCTGAAAAATGAAGAGTCAAGCCCTATTATAAGTTGTATTCTACAGGAAAAGGTGTTTTGAAGTGTCTGTATTATTTTTCTAATTGTTGTAGAGATCTGAATGGGTATGTTTAGACAAAGCTGTATATATATGGTTAAAGTTGCTAAGTGGAATGGTAGTTCATTTGGGGAAGAAAAACATTTTCAGGCTGCTGGGGCTTTTCTTTGGGTAGGTCCTGAATGTAAACCCTAGCCTTGCCAAGTGAAATTTATTACCCCAGTTCCCCTCTGGATAGTTTCTAGCCTCTTGAGTTTCCAGTCCAGATTCTGACTGAGGTTTGTTACTCAAGTTTGAGAGATCAGACCTCTTATGTCGGAAACTAAGAATCTTAACTTGCCTTAGATCCATCTTCTGCATAATAGTAAATAGCCTAGCTGCAGTGTGGAAGAGTAGATTCACTTTTCTTTTTACTTTTTCTGGACCTACTTTGAGATAATGTATCTATGAATTGGGAGAGGCCAAGCTCATCTCTTTGATCTTTGTATTGTGTGTAGTTGTGCAGATTTTTCTCTTCTTTTAGTTTTAAATCTGGCACTTTTTTCCTCAAAAAGCTTTCTGTCATGCTAAGATTTTATTTTTCAGTTTTAATGATTCACATTGCAACACGTGCATAATCTCCCTCACTTAATAATTTATGCTTGTTTTGGCAGACTACTCATTTTCTTATGGAGGAAGGTTACTTTTAATATTGTTGTAAAAGCTCCCAAAGGAAATGTGAGCTTAGAAGTGATCACAAACCTCTCCTTGTTGTACAGCATTGCTCACCATCTTGACTGGGATTTTTCTCTGAAACCTTTCAGATAGCAATAATACATGCTCTCTCTAAATAGAACCACAAATCTTAAAACTTTCCTGTCTTCTGCTTACCTCACTAAGTAGGTAAATTAGCTTAGAAATGACAGAAGGACTTTTCTTGATTTTGGTAGAACATCAACTTTCCCAAGCTGTCATTGGAATTACACTATTTAGGAACATTGAGATTTGAATAATATGTAGGCTGTTGACCATCCTTGTTTGAAGTGAGGCAAAATATAAACGAATGTATTTCTTTGACAAGACATTTACAGTTGCTTTGCCATGATTTAATAAGAAGAGAGGGAGAAGTAAAATATATTCAGAAAACATTTCTTTTTGTAAATGAGTAGCTTATTCATATTCAGAAAACATTTCTTTTTGTAAATGGGTAGCTTATTCTCCTGTAGGACCAGTGATAAATCATAGTTGACCTTGTTTTTCATACTCACTTTCATGTCATTCTGGAAACTACTCTGTGAGTTCTCATTTTCCATGTAGTAGCTCTGTGTGGACTGGGAACTTGGTATTCCGTTTCTACTTAATCTTTTTCCCCACACGCTATTTACCCCAGTACCTTTATTATTACCACAGAGGCCCTGTTAGCTTTGTGTGTCTCTTTACTGGACTCCTTTTCTTCATAAGCTGTGATACCTAAAGTTGATTGTCCTAATTTTAGGAAGTTTCTGATTGCTGGAGAATATAGAGTGTGATATATTTAGCTTGATATGGGGTGGGATTGGGGGAGGGGTTATGGACTCTGTTGAGAGTCTCATGGAAAACCACAGGTCTTCTATCCAGACAAACGTGTATTACATATATAATTTTGTTAAGTTTTAGGAGGTTCATGTATTGCTCTTTCATTACCACCCCATTCAAGAATTCCTGGTAGAGGTAGAGATAAGAAAATATCTGGGTATTTTTATCCTTTTTCAGTGGTATTAACAGTCGTTTGCCAACTCCACTACCATCTTTAATCAAAAATAACTTAAATGCTACTTTGCATGTATAGTAGAGTCACAGAGGTAAATAGTTTAAACCTTGTAACCCTTGAGAATATGGATTATCAAAAACTGGCATGAGACACAAACAGCTAGTGACTGGAACACAAGACAAGTGTATCAGCTGTGTAAACAGTGTATTTTTTCATATTCTGCTGGTATTATTAGGTATTTCTTCAGAGATGAGTGTCACAAAGAAAATAGGGAGAGAACAGGTCCCATCTTTGTAATGGTTTAAAGTAAGAGAAAATTTTGCAAATGTATGAAAGTGATTTTTCCCTGTATTATAAATGAGAGTGTTGAGATACTGAAGGGTTAGTTCATGTTTAAGTTTCCAAACTGAAGTATACTAAGGGTGAAATTATTAATCAGTAGGCTGGATTTTTTGCCATGGGGCAGATTCGTATAGGTAAAACAACCAGTACACTCTCTGAAGCTGATGTTGTACTGGCTCGGTGAAGGCAGCGCATGACTGGTACGCAGTCCGTTTTCTTTAGCAACACATCACTGTTAAGATGAAAGCTTTTCTGATAACTTTGGCAGTCTGTCACCATCAGTATTTTGGGGACCAACCTACTGAAGACCCTGGGAGATTAGAACTCTAGAAAACTTGAGTTGCAGTCTTCTGTCACTCAAAATATTCTTGATTATAAGCCAGCTGTGGCTGGCTTTTATTTATGTCCTAAATACCTGGATAGTTGACTTAGTTTTCTTTCTGTTGTATTTGTGTTTGGCACAGTCAGTCAGCCTGTGTGAGGACACAGCATTATTTTATGTATTTTAAAGATTAGATGGTCTATACTTATGAGAGCTTTTAACTGAAAGAGACTTAACTGTATAATCACTTGTAATAATCAAGTAGGTATGGCATGAAAACTTCACAGGCACATGTATATTTTTTATCCCTTACATTCTGATAAACAGTAGGTTTAATTCAGGCATTACCTCCTCTGTGGAGCCTTTCCTTAATTCCTTTTCCTCTCTTACCTCCCAGAATTGCTACTTCTTCCTCTGTGCCTAACCCTGTGTATGCTTTTCTACTGCATTGTATCACCCTGTTTGTTTATAGTCTCTCTCACTATACTAGACTCTAAGCTTCTAGGGGGAATAGTCTATGTCTTACTCATTTCAGGGTATAAAGCCAGGCACGTAGAAGGTTCTCAGTAATGTGTTATGAAGGAAGGAAGGGGTGAATGGAATGAATGAATGAGTGAATGAATGAATATTAAAGAATATTAGAAAGCCCTTAAGGAAGGTATCAAAACCTCGCATGCCTTCAGGGTCCAGGCATAAATGAGTTAAGCAGACCTGGTGGATTCTGCTGTGGTAACTTGGAGAACCCCTGCCTTACCTAAAAGGAGCAGCTGCTACTCCACTCCAGCCCATTGGTGCCTTGTGGGAATGCTGACTCTGTTGCCACACCTTTAAATTATTTAAGAGAAGCCAGACTTTGGTTATTTATATGAAACCTTATGACTGTCAGCCAAGTTTCTTAAACCCTTTTATTGATGTTTAATTTACATACCAAAAAGCGTGTATATTAGGGGTATACATCTCAGTCCATTTTCACAAACTGAACTGATCTTTTATGTGGACCAAACAAAACTGGATAGGCCTGCAGGCCACCAGTTTGCAACTTGTGACAAAGGCCATATGGGAGCTAGCTACATGGTTTTGTTAAGAATTACCTGATAGGTACGTGTGCTTTAAAGAGGCACATCAGCCAAATGCAGTGTGTGGACCTTGCTTGGATTTTGATGCAAATAAATGAGATATAGAAAAGCATTTATGAAACAGTTGGTGAAATTTGAATGTTGACTAGCTGTTTAATAATATTGAAGAATTACTGTTAATTATTTTAGATGTTACATAGTTGGCTTGGTTTTTCTCTTTTTATATAGACTTTATTTTTTAGAGCACTTTAGAGCAACTTTGAACAGAAGCTGCAGAGTTCCCATATACCCTGGCCCCCTCCACATGTAGCCTCCCTCATTATAAACATCCCCCACCAAAGTGATACATATGTTATAGTTGACGAACCTGAACTGACCAATCATTATCACCCAAAGCCCATAGTTCACATTAGGGTTCACTCTTGATGTTGCACATTTTTAGGGTTTTGACATATATAATGACATGTATCTGCCATTATAATATCATAGTTATTTTTCTATGAGTCTTTAAAGACACATACTGATTTATGAATGAAATGAAATAATACTGGAATTTGTTTCAAAATAATTTTGGAGCAGTATGAAAGTTTAGTTATAAATAAAAGAAACTTGACCATATATTGGTAATCATTGAAGCTGGTGATGTGTACATGAGTGTTCACTATAGAAGTGTCTCTGTTTTTGTATATGTTTGAAAATTTTCACCTTCAAATGCAGAGCAGAAGTTCAAGTTAAAGCTGAAGCATAATTTTTGGGGTCTGGGATAATGGGACAACTACCGTAGGTTACAGAATCTCAATTTCTGGAACTGAAGTCTACAAAATTAGTGACATTTCCTTTTTTCATCTGAAGGGCCTGAGAGTCAGTATACTAAGACTGCTCAGGAGATTGTGAACATCTGTTACCAGACATTGACTGAGGTAGGTGTAAGAGGAGGTCCCCTTGGAATCCAGCTTCCTGGAATCCCTTTGTTTCCTTGTCTGAGGAGGTTTGCCTTCCCTGCCTGTCGAATTTTAAAGTGTAACGTCCCACCCCCACCCCCACCCTCACCCCACATCCGTGTTTCCTTCCATGCTTTATTTTCCTCCTTAGCATTCAATTATTTTATCAAACTATACAATTACTTATTTTAATTTTCATATCTATTCTGCCACTAGAATAGCAGCTCATAAAGACAGGGAATTTTGTCTGCTCTGTTTGCTTTTGTATCTCCAGGATCTAAAGCACATATTGAATGAATTCACCAATTTTCTTTATTTCTCAGTATGATGAGCATTTGACTCAACTTGAGAAGGATATTTGTACAGCTAAAGAAGCAGCTTTGGAGGAAGCAGATTTAGAAAGCTTGAACCCCATGACTCCAGGCCCTTACACATCCCAGGTGAGTCTGAGGACTAGGAACTTCCTCTTAGAGTTTTCTTATTGGTTTGGGAAGTTGGGAGCATAACAAATGTATTGACTGAGATACCCTTCCTCTCTGTCCTTCCTCTTCATATGCCTTTTGTGTGCTTTCTTGTCTTCTCAAAGGCTAAGGTGAGTGAGGGCCATCGGTCTTGGTGGCCTTGTTGAATCCAAGAGAGGCAGATATGGAATGAATGAGTGGGGTGGGGTGTTTGTTGTTTAGGCAGTATTTAGGAATACCAGATTCCTGACCATTATGGCCAGAGGCATCCTTTTGAGTCTCTGGAGCCGTCCTGCCCATGAACTGGGGCTCTAGGACATCCTAGAGCCTATATAACTACATATAGACTTAGTTATACATGTGGGCCACATTGTTTCTGTGCCTTATAGATGCCTGATTACTCATCCCCATCTTAGTGTAACTCAGATGTTACCCATTTTCCTGGATTGGCTCCCTCTCCTCGAAAATGAAGATCGGTAACATTTATAATATTCCTTAATTTCATGTCAAAAGGTTTAGAAAGCAGGATTAATAAGAAATGTTTAGTCTTTCTGTTCTGACCCTTGAATATATACTAAGTGTATTTCATCTATACTGTACTCTTAGAGGGCTGGCATATTTAAAGGAATGGCCTCGCCAGAATACAGGTTGTGCTTGGTTTCTCGATTGGAGGCACCATGGTAAAGTGGGAAGCACATGAAGTTTGGATAAAACAGGCCTCGGTTTGGATCTTAGCTCTGCTACTATCTAGCTTTGTGAGGCTGAGACGCTAAGTTAACCTCTCTAACCCAGTTTCCTTTTTCTCTCAAGTATATTTCTCAAAATTGTTGTAAATATTAAATAAGCCTGTTTGCCTTGCACATAGTACACATTCAGTAAATGTTTCCTCATCTGTATGAAAGTTGTCTACAAAGTCCTCAGAGGCCCCTTCAGACTCAACCCAATCTTTGAATGCAAAATTCTCCTAATTTCCACTGGAAAACATTTTTTTCATTCTACTGAGGTTTTACTCTGAACTAATAATGGGACCTATGTGATCTTTGTTGGATTATTGCTGTCTGTATCTCATTGATGCACTCTCCCTATCTATCTTTTACTTTCTCTTTCACCCCAAACCTAGGTTACTGAGGGGTCTAATAGGCCCACAGCTTCCACAAGGCCCTTTCCGGTAAGTTAAAGCCTGGGTTTTAGCCACCATTTCCCAGGAGAGACGAGCCACTCTATGGCGCATGGTTTGCTCTAGTCTATGACAATGTAAACCTAGTCGTTGGGTGAGTCAAAGCTTTAAACCTAAAAGCCATCTCCCTTTTCTTCCCTACCCTTCCCACACTACCTGAAAGAGCTGAGGAAAATCTGGAAACTGTTAATCCTGCTTGAGCAGTAGCTATTGCTTAGTGCAGTTAGAGGATCTCCTGGGAAGGGTGGGGTGTAGATTGCTGCTGCATCCTTCTAGCTTACCCTCTCATTGTCGCCTTCACTCTTACATATACATTTTAAAATAGTAAACCCAGTTCATTACCTCTTAACCTGAGGAAGATGCACATGAGTGATTGTCCTTACTCATTACCACTCTTCTGACCCAAATGTTTAATCAAAGAGTGTTTGCAAAAGTTTGACCAGGCATTATACAACTCTAGTTGCATAGAAACATAAGAGTAATACTTTACTAACAGCTCTAAATGGTGGTAGTCAGTAATGCATTTTTCACTCAACTGTTTCCACCTAGCTTGTCATTGTGTCGTACACTCGACTTAACCCCTTATCTAAAACTGCTTACTTTGCAGTTCCTCGCAAAGCCTTTCATTCCTGATTTTCTCTTATGTTCCAGAGCTAGTTTATCTGCTCTGTAGTGATTTGAATTGTCTTGCCTCTCTTTCTCCAAAACCCTCTTCTCAATGAGCCTCACTTGTTTGCTTTTTAAATGAGAGACAGTATCATGTATGTGAATTTTTGGTTGATCAAAATTATGTGTTCTTTGGGAAAAATTGGGAAATATAAAGAATAAATAAATTGCCTAAAGTCAAGTCTTCCACTCAGAACCAACCACTGTGAACATTTTGGTGTGTCTCCTTCAAGTCCGTGATGTGAGTGTCTGTGAGTATATACACATGTGCATGCTTTTATAGACACATTTTTAAAGTGGAATGGTCAGTATGGCTTTCTGTCTTGTTTTCACGTTACAAACAGTTTATTTCATTGAGTAGTCTTTAAAAACATGATTTTTAAATAGCTGTATAATATTTCTGCCCTCAGCCAGCTTTTTAGAGAAGTCTACTTCTCCAGCCTGTTCTTTATTGATCTGCTTGCCCTCCTGTCACTGAGTAGTCCTTTTGCTAAATCCCTGTTCTCTTCAGGAGAGGGAAGAGAGAAGAGGTCTATAATTTATTGAATACCAGGCATTGGGTAAGGGGCTTAACACTTCTCTCTCCTAGTTCTCCCAACGACCTTGTGAGGTAGGTTTTACAATTGAGGAAACCCAGGTTTAGAGTAAGCAATTAGTTAAGGTTACTCAGCTTGCAAGTGATGGAGCCAGGACTCGAGCCCAGAGCAGTTTATTGCAAAGCCCATGGCTTTTCACCACACCATTTTGCCTCATAGCATCCTCTGAAGAGCTCAAAAGCTATTAACCCATTCCATGCTCTTGTTGGAGTTAAAATTCCTTTATCCCATTTCCTATTAGAGATCCAAACCAAACAATCAAAATAGCACTGGTTGAAGCCCTGGACCTAAAAATAATAAGGCAAGGCCTAGAAAAAACTAGGTTATTGACCAGAAAGGCTGTTAGGATATAGAATGGTCCCATAGCTTTGATGGTTTTCTGCTTCAGGCTTCTGATCATGTGCATCAGAAGTCTCTCTGCTAGAATGAGCAACATTTGTAAGGTTCCCAAAACCTGTCTACATAAACCTGTGCCAAACTATGTTTTCTCTTTAAATCAGATAATTCTGCATGACCTTTTTCTGCAGTGAACATTTTAAGGGGGAGTTCTGTGTATTTCTCCCTTTCGTAAGTAGAAGCTAAGTTGTCTGATTTATGCCACAGCCTCCTGATTTGTATGATAACAGCACATCCCTCAGTGTGTCTCGAGATGCCTCTGTATTTCAAGATGAGAGCAGTATGTCTGTCCTGGATATTCCTACTGCCACACCAGAAAAGCAGGTAACAGAAGTAGGATTTTCTTTTTCTCTTTGTGTGATTGGTAGTGTGCTCTGAGGTGGGGAGCAATGGTAGTGATGATATATGACCGGTGTCAAGGATGATTGTGCCCCTTGGCCCTGGGAACGAAGGCTTAGAAATGTAATTTCAAGGTGGGATGGTAGCAGATCATGTGACTGGCATCTTCTGTGTCTCCCCATGGGCAGAGTCAGGCACAGCAGAACTTCAGGGAAGTGTAAGAGGCATCAGAGCAACCTGACAGATGACTTAGAGATACCACCTGCACTCAGAGACAGTTCAGAATAATTTCCCTGCTACTTCACCTATGTGTGCGATAATCTAAATGAAAAATATGTATAAAATAAAATTAGAATTTTAATATTGGTCTTTTCTAGAGGTACCAGAAGATATTCCTGATCTGAAGCCAGATATCCTCTATCAGTTTTTCTCAGTCAGGGTTCCACTGGCGAGTGCAAAAACCCTGGAGAGTTTTTCTATCCCAGAGTCCAACACAAGCTAAGGAAAGCTTGGGTTAGAAAGGAAGTCTTCTTATGGTGATACAGTAAGAGGAGGCAAAGGACCTTCCTGTTCTTTGGGTTTTTACCCTACCCATGACTTCCAGAGAACCAACGGGGGAAAGTACACATGCCTTAAGCTGTGTAAACAGCCCCCACTAACTATTTGGGAACTCAGTTTCCATACCTTTCTCTGGTATTGTTGACTGGGATATCAGTGAGGAGCATCCTTCCGGGTGAGATCCCTTGGTTAACTCCCACAGGCATGTGCTATTTGTGTTCCTTACTCAGATGCACCAGGGCCAAGGTAGTCTGGGTGAGGAAGTCTCTGATGTGGATATTGAAGGGTATGAGGAGGAGGAGGAGGAGGATGGGAAACCTAAGACTCCAGCCCCAGTGAGTATGCTTATAGAAAGCTTATGGTTACATTACACTCTTACATGGTAGAAGCCCCAGTAGTACAGGGCAGGGCAAATCCCAGGGTATCAGAGGGTCTCCATAGGGAGGTCCAATCTGACTTTAATCCTTGTTACTAGCTCAGGAAGTCTGTCCACCACAATTACTTAACTTCCTATGAAACTGATAGCAAGGGTGGCTGGTGGCATCTTCTGGTCTCTTACTTGGTCTGTTGATGGGACTTTGACATGCAACTGGTCTTAATTCAGGAAAGTGAAGATGCAGATGGTGATCTTGCAGATGAAGAGGAAGGAACTGTGCAACAACCTGAAGCCAGAGTCCTGTATGAGGATTTGCTTATGTCTGAAGGAGAAGACGATGAGGAAGATGCTGGGTGTGAAGAAGAAGGAGATAATCCTTTCTCTGGTAAAGCTGGTTCCTTTGCTTCTGTTCCTATATAGCTTACCAGAGTACCCTCAGGACTGGATAAGAAGCTCTTGGCCTCATATGCTGTTGCCAGAAGTTGCTCTTCTATTGAAGTTCCATTTATAGGCCTTAGAGGCCTGAAGACTCACTCATAGGGTGATCAGATTCTTTAGCCTTAGAGAAAGTGAGGAAATAAAACAGGAGAAGAAGGTTTAAAAGATGGCAGGAAAAGGCAATGCAATGCCTTAGTAGCAACTTTGGTTTGAATATTTGATAAAGACTAGAAGAAATGTCTTATATGGCATAGTAGGGAAGGAAAATTAGGAGGAAAAGACCCTGCTTTGGGATGTTTTGTGGATTAATGACAATGACAGGGAAAAAGTATAGGAAAAGATGATAGGGAAAAAACAGGTAGATTGGACTGAGACGGAAGAAGGAATAATTGTCTGAACTCAGTTTCCATACCACAGATCTTGCCACTGTTGACTGTACACAATCCTCAGATGTGAGGCATCCAGGCAAGATGCCTATATAGATGTACGCAAGTAACTAGTTTTGGAAGACCAAAACAAAGATGGTAATTCTGTCAAGCTTATCTCAGGGTCTGTCTCTCTTCACAGCTATCCAGCTGAGTGAAAGTGGAAGTAACTCCGATGTAGGATCTGGTGGGATAAGACCCAAACAGCGCTGCATGCTTCAAGAGAACACAAGCATGGGCCTGGAAAATGAAGAAAGCATGATATCCTATGAGGGAGATGGTGGGGAGGCTTCTCCTGATCTGGAGGATAGCAACATCAGGTAATCGACTGCAACATGCTACAGGGCTGTGACATCACTGCCCAGCTATGATGTCAAAGGGCCCAGCATCAGATTTCTTTCATCCATCAAACATTTCCTGAGCCACCTACTAGGGCCATGCACTCTGCTAGGCCCTTGGGGACACAAAGTAGCAAGACCATCCTGCCCTTGAGGAGCTCACAGTCTAGTGGAAGAGACTTATAAAACCAAAATCATTACAAATGCAATGTAATAAGTGCTGTAGCTTAAGTTAAGTACAAAGTACAAAGTCATCACTGAGAAAGGAGTCTCTCACTCTGCTTGGGGTAATCAGACAGTTTCACAGACAAGGGATCATTTAAACTGGGCCTTATAGGATGCATAGGAGTCTACTGTAAATGGCAGCAGGTGAGGAGACTCTTAGAGTTAGAATAGATTCAAGGCGCAGAAATATAACAAAGTTTGTTCCAGAGCAGTGGTGTTGGGAGCTGTGACTCCAGAAGTATCAAGGGACTGGATTGTAGAGGATCTTAAATGGCATGCTCAGACATTTCAGTTTTGGGTAATAGAATCACCACTTTGAGAAAAAGGAATCAACATCAAATTTGTATATTAAATAAGTAATTCCTGGACAATGATGAGGATCTCAACTGGGATCTGTTAGAAGCAGGGGTAAAAGGAAGTGATGTGTTCAAGAGCTATTTGGAGAGTAGATCAGTTGGATTTAGGAGGTAAGGAGATCAGGTATAAAATGAATGGAAATTTCACTGCAATAGGACAGAGTAGGAACAAGTATTAGATGAGGTGGGAAAGGAAAAAAAAAAATAATTTGTTTTTGTACATGTTGGATTTAAGATACATATGATGTATGTAGGCAGAGGTGTCTGGCAAACAGTTAAAAATCTTTATTCATTTAGCAAATACTTATCACAAGTACGAAAGCAACTAAGATGTGGTCCCTTCCTTCAAAGAATGCAGTCTAGTGGGAAACCTAAAACAGCTAAACAGTCACAGTGCAACACGAAATGTGCTATGATAGGTAGCAATAAGGTTTTCTGGGACTTGGGTAGGAGTAGGGAAGGAGCTGGGTGGAGAAAGAAGCTGAGCTGAATCAGGGTAGGAATTAGCTAGATGAAGAAAGCAAAAGGCACTCTAGAGAGTAAGAATAGCTTGTTGGAAGATACAGAGGCATGAAGCACTTGTAGAGAATGCAAGTAG